ATGAGAAAGATAAGCTCCAAATTAAATGTCATTTGAATATCATTATAATTAGTTGTCTTGGAAGTTTTTCCCATCAGAAGAGTTTTCTACTGTAGAAATATGATTACCACAAATGTGTATTTAAGACATTAACAGTCCCTAATTCCTTTTGAGTCTTTTAATTCTAACACAGTGGTTATAAACTTTTGATATGTCTTGAAAGATTTTTAGGATCAGGTGATGATCTTTTTTCTATTTGGGACTTTATATTTTATTCCAGTTATTAATTAGAAATTTCCATTACTTAAATTCTTTACTACAATGCTGTCTGGATAGTAAAAGTAATCTGTCTATAGGTACTTTGCTTTCTAGAACAGCTGGGTTTCTGAAAATATGGAATAATATTTCAAGTACTTTTTTCTCTGAAGCAGGTAGTTTTTCAGTAATTAAGATGATTAATTTATTTTTAGGTTAAGAGGGTCTTAAGGAAATGTCGGCCCTTAGGTTCATGTGTTTGACTTGCAGAGCACTTCGTCATTCACCTGTAGTGATGCTTGAAAGCCTCATTTTTTATTATTAGTGGTGATGTTTGTTGTAGCTGCTAGGTGCTATCTTTATATTTTCTTATTTCATTTTTCGACAGTTTGCTGAGGTAGGAAACACTGAATCTTAGATATGAGATTACCCATATTCCTTTACTCAGCTTCAAGTACTGTATGTAGTGCAGCCTGGAGTTGAACCCAGGCAGTGAGTGACAGGAGTGTGCTGTCTTGTGGGGCTGATTGTTCTTCCAGACAGCCCTGTGGTGTGGGAGCCTTTGGATGGTCCAGAGCTTCTCACTGTCAGCCTGGAAGATGAGGCTTCCACCTCCAGGTCTTGTCATATGATTACCTTGACTGGACGTAAGCTTTCTAGTGAGCCTTCTCCCTGTCCAAGCCTTTCCTTCACAAGATACAAAGAGTATGTGTGCCCTTCCCTAGTTGCGACCCAGAAAGAGTTTGTGTCCAACAGGTGTAGGTTGTGTATAGAACAGCTGGGCAGTGCTGACATACAACACTTCCTCTCCTGCACCCCAACCTTGGTAGCTGCTGTCCCTTTGTCAGGTGGCACTGGGGTGGGGGTGGCAGAGGACAAGGGACAGGGCATGAGTATAGCCAGGGGAACAGCTGAGGGCAGTATGGAGGCAATGCTCTTAGGTAAAGGAGGAGGAAATCTTTGCTCTCCACTTAGAATTCTCCACAGGTGGCACACTTGGCATTTCTAATTGTCCCCACTGAAGTAAATATTTAGAACCAAATCCTGCCATGTTGTTCCTCAAACTCTGTTAATATTTTATTTAAAATCAGTAGCAGGGATAAATGTTTAAATCCAAACACAATTTAAAAAACAAAACCTGGACATTTCAGACAGGCTGTGTGTTGGAAAGACAGCCTGCTCATTGATAGTGTTGTAATTTGCTGCCCTTTCTCACCTTTTCTTCTGATTACCTATGGGATTCATCAAGAGTGAGACTGCTTTCTTCACATTTACCCCAAGAGGAAGCATGGGAGTAAATTAACTGTGAACAATCTCACATCTAATGGAAAATTAAAGGTTTTTTGACTCGATGTTAGCACTCATGAATTCAGATGACACCCATTAAATAATGATCGTGGGTTTAGACATCCACAGTGGAATAATTTGGCTCCTCGGTGAACTTCTTGATTTATTGCCATTCATTGTGATAATGCTACAGGCAAAGGTGTCAACTACCTTAGCTGAGATTTCCTTGCTGGTTTCTGATGGGTCTTCGTGTCTACTTAGAATTAAGTGTGTGTGAGTGTGTGTGTATGAGAGAGGCAGACGGATGGACAGGCCGGCATTTTCTCCTGCAGTCTTGATATCTGATTGCTGACCATAGAAGTATTAAAATATTTTTTGGCTTCATCACCTCTTTGATCCTGTGGATAATAAGGACAAGGTCAGTGGCTGCTATGACTGCACTAAGCAACTTCTTAACATTTTAAAAATCAATCAGACCTCCATTGATCAAGTTTTAAGGAAGGCAAAGAAACAAGCTAGCCGCACAGCTTCTGCATGTCAGGTTGTTCGCTAAGCATTTATGTGCGTGATCTAATTTAATCTTCATGATGGCTTTTAAGTGTCATCATCATTATTATTATTCCTCTTTTAAAGATTAGGAAATTAATGCTTGAGGAGAAAGCGTAATAACTCCCACAAGGTCACATGGCCAGAACGTGGTGGAGGTGGGGAAAAGAAACTTGCTATCTGGCTTCAAAGCCCAGTGAAAAGGCTGCCCCCTTTTTTGGATTGAAATAAGTGTTTCAGACAATCAAAATGTATTTCAGTGGACTCTTAATACTTGGGCAAATTTACTGTTATTAAAGGTTTAGGGAAATAGCCTCTTTATTCTTCCACACTCCGAGTAAAAGATTGAGGCTCAAAGTAGATGGCTGTCATGGTTCATTGTGACTGAGATAATGTAATTCTCAGACCACACATTTCTCCAGTTACCTGTGTATGAGGTTATTTAAAAGCAGGACTCTGGTTCCCATTTTTATTGGAATTCCTATTATGTGCAGATTAAATCCAGAGGATCTTTATAAACTACTGGGGGGTTCAGGGTAACCCAGAATTCTGTTTTCTACCCTGGCTCCTACTTCCCAATCTCTTGGTGATTTGTAACATGATGAATCATCAACATTTAACTGTTTTTAGAAGAGTGCTGTTTACCTGAGTCCAAGACGACTGTGAATATCTCAGCCATGTATTCTGATCCCTTGATTTATCTCTTTCCAAATCCTTCTGAGGCTTCAGGTCTTCACCCTCAGAGCATCTTTCTGTGATGAGATTAGCTTTTTTGGGTATCAGGGATCAAAGTCAGGACCTTGAGATAAATTCTTCATTGATCTTTTCCTTTCTTATTTCTTTCACACTTTCTGGATGTGTTGCTAATTAGCATCTTGTTACACACCACCTCAGTCTTTCAATGTGTGTATGTGACTGTCTTCTTTCTGTATCTGTGTCTTATATCACTGACAATATTATAAGCATCTGCAGAAAACTTGTCTCCTACAGCTTGTGTTTCTCTAACATTTTATGCTAGGTATCTGCTAGGTACATAGCCAGTGTTCAGTAAATATTTGATAATTCTACAGCTGAACCTGGCATAGTTTCATTGAATCATCCACCTGCCCTTTCTCAAGTGAAATGAAGCATCAAGGCAGTTAGAAAAATTTTACACAGAAATGAATTTTTTGAAAAGGTAACATGTTGACATGGTTCAAAATGAAAGACTATACCAAGACATACAAAGTGAAAAATGCCCTTTTTGTTCCTCCCCTCCCATTCCTTCCACAAAAAGTAGCTACTGTTTTAGTTTCTTGTGTAACCTTCTAGAATATTTCTGTGTTTTAAGCAAATAATTTAAAATAATAAAGCAAAAGTACTTATTTTCTATGTTTTGATGTAGAACTTTGCAAAGTACATAACGACTGCCCTTTGGTTCTTACACTTAACTGTGTAACTTAGGAAAATTTTCAGGATCATTTAACAGGGATCATATCAATACTCTTTTGTAGGTCAGTGGTATTCCATTGTGTAGGTGTACCACAATTTATTTAATTTGTCCCACACCGATGGATATTTAGCTTGTTTCCCATTCTTGTCTCTAACATAGTTTGCAGTGGCTAATGGGGCTGTTAATCTTATTTCACCTGGATACAGGTGTCTCTGGAGGATATATTCCCAGGTATGGAGATTAGTGGGACACAGGGAAGTATACTGGTAACCCTCACAGGTCTTCCGTGTTGCCCTGCTGCAGAAGTGTCACCTTTTTCTTCCACAGACTTGTTTCTCTATGGCCCTTTTAGTAGATGTTGACTCAAATGTATGCATTTTTGCCCATGTGATGGATGAAAGATGATGTCTCTCAATGTAGTTTCTATTTACATAATCTTATGACTCAGTCAATATATTTTCTGTGTTTATATTTATATAAATATATAAGGGCCATTTATATTTATTTCTGAACCATCTGTTCTTGTCTTGGCCCATTAATAAAAAGTTTGCATTTCATTTTTTTTTTCTTTTTTCCTAGTTTAGCACTTGGATTAATTGATGGTGGTAGTGGTTTGTTTTCCTGCAGAAGTTTTCAATTTAGGTAATCAAATTTATGGAGCTTTGCTTCTTTATAGCTTTTGAATTTCAAGGTTTTAGGTCTTTTCTACCTCATGGCTACATGTTTTCTTCTAGTGCTTTTTCTTTTTCTTTAAATCTTTGCTGCAGTCTTTTAGATATGAATCCAACTTGTTTTAAATGGTTGTCTAGTTATTGAAAGATTTATCTCCAGTAAGATAAGATACCATCTTTGTCATAGACTAAATTATAATTTGGATTATATGTTCATACTGTCCAGAATGTAAGTACTGAACTAACAAATGAGGTGGATAACTTAGTGCACTTATTCATACAGCAAACATTTATTAAGCACATAATTATTGTATGCCATGCTCAGGGATATAAAGTTGAGTGTGAATCAGTCTCTGAAGAAAGGGGCTGGACAGTAAGTACAATCTCAGTGCAGTAGAATAAGAGAGCGGAGAGGCTGAGAGGCAAGGAGAGGCTTCCAGAGCAGACCATAGTGAGTAGAGTCTTGAATGTCTAATAGGAGTTTGCCAGCCAAGAGGCAAAGGACATTCTAGGAAGAGGAAATAATGAGTTCAGAGGAAGGCATCCATGAGTCGGTTATGCCCGGGGGAGATTTTCTTTAGCCCTTCGTGGCCATACTGTGGGACAGGGGACAACAGTCAGAGATGGCAACATAAGAACAGTTCATGAAAATTTCCTAAGTGATATCTGTGGGATTTGGGTATGAAGTAAAGGTTGGACCTCCTCCATGCCTTCATCCATCTAAACAGGTGAAAGGGAAAGAGTGAAAGTTCCCAGATAAGTGGAAAGCGACACTCAGTCATGTTCTGCAGGTCAGTTGTTGAGTTTTTGACACCTGTTGCTTATTCTAGAGTACTCCAAGCTCCCGGAGCCGAAGTCTCACTTTGCTCCCCCATGGAACACCCAATTCTGCGTCTCCCTGTAGCCAGAGACACCTCATTGCGGGGGCCCCCGGTGTGGTCACAATCACGCATCACAAGTCGCCTGCAGCCGCCCGAAGAGCCAAGAGTCAGTATCCTGGCCAGCTTCACGAAGTCAGAGAGGTAGGCTTTGCTCCCCTCCTAGGTTAAGTGACCCCCGGGAGTTGGGGGTGTGCCCGTGGCTCTGCCAACTCCTCTTCCTTTGGACCATCTTGATTCATGAAAAGAAGGGACCAGCAGTCAAAACTCCCAGCCACATAGTCTTGGCCATCCTTCCTGCTTTTTAGAAAATAACAGGGCTTGGGATGTAGCTAGTGCTTGCCAAGCATGTGTGAGGCCCTGGTTTCCATCCCTTGTACTGCCACATGAATAAATAAAAAATATCCATTAATGCTGTATCTTGGATTAAGCAAGTTGTTAAGAGATCTCTATCATCGTTGTGGAAACAGAGAAACAAGCCCTCAGAATGTGAGAGCAAATGAAGGATGACCAGTTAAAGTCACCATATTAACAGTGAAGAGTAGATCGTGTGAAATAATGGATAGTCGGAGGTAGCGTTTTGAAATTGAGGAGTATTAGACCTGACTCCCCTCTGTTCTGCCCTGCCTTGCTGTCCTGGTGAAGTGCCTCCATCTTTCCTTTGCAGACACCCCAGGGGAGCATTGGGAAGTACAAACCACACCATCCTTGAAGTCAGGAGATTTTAGTGTTTAAGAACAGTCTTTGATCAGCTCAGGACCTCTGTTTCTGCATCTGTAAAATGGAAATAAAAACCAGCTTTGTAGCCTGCCAGGAGAAATAGAACATCTTGTGATGATAACCATGAAGTTCTTTTACCATGTCTTAGAAAATTGATGCAAGAGTATTTTTAGTTTTACTTATACTCTGGGAAGTAGTCAGCGTTGGGATCCCAGACGTTTAGGATCCGTGTCGTCCTTTGTAACCATTATGGAGAACAGACTGTCTAAGCTGAATGCTGTTGGTCGTGGTGGCCTGCGCTCTGTCGAGGGCAGAAGCCTTTAGCCCTGCAGTTTGCTCACCTCCAAGCTGGCTCCCTGTCCTCTTAGAGAAGGGAGCAGAGCCCTTCCGGTGTCTCACAGGAGAGCAGGTTTCTCAGATCGTCTACAGCAGTGTGCATCTTGTGTTATAAATCTCTTGAGCTGGGGGAGGCTCTCATGGCTGACTATCAGTCTGATCTGGCTCTGGGCAGGAAATTTAAAGTCTTCTGAGTCATATCTACGGGTATATATGAAAGACATTTTTTTGTTGATTTTATGTGCTTATACTCTGCTTAATAAAGAAAAAGCGGCCAGCGTTCTGTTCTAATTTTCAGGTAGACTGCTCGCTTTGAATAGTCTCCCCCTTGGGCATTAAAATAGAGTGAAAAGAAGACATGGCTTTTAATTGTGTTACCTTGGTTGAGATAATGATGAATTGTGCCCATGTGTATATTGTTGTTCATTTTTCATAGCACCTTCTCAAAACACTGATATGGAAAACACAGAAAATTTTCAAATATATACCAAATAAAATAATGCATTATTCTGAGGTACTAGACCATGCCATGCACCTGTCACCTAGCTTCAGCAGTTCAGCTCTCTGCTGTTTTGGTTGCATCTGTTTTAAACTCCCCTTTACCTCCAAACACTCTTTTTCTTGCTGAAGAATTTCAAGGAATGGTTAAAAATAGATAATTTTATCATTGCTAGCAAATGCATCAGTATTTATGTAGCAGATTTTTTTTTTTTACAATTTATACCATTTTTATGTAGATATCATTATAAATTATTTTGTAAGCCTTTGAGACTGTAACTTTTAAAAATGGGTAGTTGAAAGTTTATGGTGTTTTGGGAAATCTTTGTGTTTTATTACAGTGAGTCTCTAGTAGACTTGCCATTGTAAGTGATAAGAGGCTTATATGGCAGGAGGTGGTAGAACGTTATGTTTAATGAGCTGTGGCCTCAATAAGAGTTGAGGCATTTTAATGGCATTTAGTATAATGCCCTAATATTTTCTACCTTCATTAAAAATTTTTTTAAAAGAATAAAAGTATGTATTGGTGTGTGTATGTGTGTGTGTGTGTGTATGAAGATGTTTAATCTTGTCAAGTATATAAGTATATATTGCAAAAAGAATATAAAGATGAAAGTAAAACTTCTCCATAATCCTACTTCCCTACAAGTAACTGCTATTAATCTTGCCATGAGTTTACTTACCAACTTTTATGTTACATATATAAAATATACAATATAATAATTTGCTAAGTGATTATGTGCTGTTTTTTTTCTTTGTTTTTGTTCAGTTTTCTACCTGTGGGGAGGAATTTCTAAATTTTCCCATATAATTGCACTATATGAAAACATAAAATGTCTCCATAGCCATTTTTACTGTATTTTAATTTTTCCAGTACTGGGGATTGAACCCAGGGCCTTCATACTGGGCTGCATCCCCATCCTATTTTTAAATTTTGAGACAAGGCCTTGCTGAGTTGTTGAATTGCCCAGACTGGGCTCAAACTTGAGATCTCCCACCTTAGCCTCCCAGAGTGCTGGGTTTACAGGCATGCACCACATGTCAGGTCTCAATTGGGTTTTGTATTTGTGGGTGACGGTATGTCTTCAGATGAATGTTTTATACATTGATGACCTTTCTTGCTGAAAGTTAATTTTAAGTAAGACTGAGCTGTAAGTGCCAAATTTATAGGGTACTGAGCTCCTCTAGGAAGAGTTGGAAGTTTCAGTTCTTGGTTATTATGTTCACCATCACTACTGATTAGAGAAGGGTAGCAGTTTCATGATGTCTGTCATTTTATAATGTGGTCAGGTCCACTTTGGAAATGGTCTGAGCAAATCTCACTCATGCCAGAAAGTTCTGTACTTATTGAGTACAAAGCCTTCTGCTTTTAAATTCCTCAGTGTTTATAATATAACTAGAGGGAAATGGAATAGTACTTTTACCTAGCTGTATAGGGTAGATAAACTTATGACCACTGAAGCAATGGAGAAAATCAGTGTACACAAGACTGATGTACCTGAATATCAAAAGAATAAAAGAAAAATAGTCCAGCCAAAGGCAGTGGAATAAATATTAAATGGAATGCCACAGCATGGATGAAAATAATGGGACAGCTTAAAAGATTAAGTGGTTATTATCTGAAATACAGAGAATGGAGATAGCAAAGGTCAGAACCCAAAGTCCTCAGGGGAAGTGGTTGGGAGAAGAGTATAGGGAATCTGAGACACAATGCCACCACGAGAAATAAGTATCCTCACTAACAGTTCAAGAAATGAAAAATTAGACACATTCATCAGTGACTTTATCAGAATTATAGCTCATGATTGGTTGGGGTGTGTCGAAATGCTGGCGGCATAGAATGTTGCCTTTTTTTGCTACGCTCTGGTGATGTATAATAATAACTAACCATAAAACTACATTACTGTTGACCTATAAGTTCCCTCCCTATTGTGAACTGTATCCCAAGGAAACAGTCCATGGAATTGGGGGTAGGAAGAGGAAAGTTAATTTGTCTAACCAGATAGGAAACATCATTTGCCCATTGACTATTTTTACATAAATGTAAACATTATGGGAATGACTATATAAACTATTTTCTTAAGATACTGAGTCACTATATAGTAATTTCTGACAAAAGTCCTGTGGGTATTATTGCTAAATAGACATGAATATGTGAAATAAGCGATCAATATAGAGAATAACAGACATATATTGGGCCCTATGTTCCTCTTAATAAACTCTCAGCAGTTTAAAATAGTGGCTTACCTCAGAATTTTGGATTTTACTTACAATTAAGGTTTAGGAGTAGAATTTAGGCAGCCACAAAACATTGCAAAATTTATCCATCAAGGCCACTTTTAAAGGCGCCTTGACAATCTGTGGTTAGGAAGTGTTCCACTACCAAAAGGCATCTGAGTTGAGAATAAAGGGCCATGTATTGCATTAAAGTTTAATTTTGGGGAAAAAAAATCTTCAAATTTTTCTTGTTTCTAATATTTTATCTTGACTAGAAGATCATCACGAATTGATCCCGGCCTATAGATCTGTTTGTAAACCACTGGGTTTTAATTTCAGAAGTATACCTTCATCTGGTCTTGTCTTCTCCAGTGGTCACGGCCAGTGTTTCTTTTTTCCAGCTCATATTTAGTCCTTCTCTGGGAAACCACCTTCCACTGTGAGAACACTGTAGCACATCACCTTTTGTGATTCCCTGTTGTTTAGAGGATAAAGGTGGAGGCCTGCGGTCTGCACTCAAGGCCAATGTGGTCTGTCCCACTCTGTGCCACCCGCTGCTCCTCCTCACCGACCGTGTGCTTCCTCCCCTCCCCACTGGAAGACCAGCCTGGTAGAGCTTGATGCGGTGATGGAAATGCTTCCCACCTGGGCTGTCCGGGAGAGCAGCCTGAGAACGTTCTGAAACATGGAAGGTCTGGATGGAGGTGCGCTGTAATGCCAGGTGCACGGTCAACTTCAAAGACTTGTACAGAACCGGGTAAAAGATCTCTTTTAAAATAACACTTTTAATAATAACACAGGGAAATAAATGATGCTTCCTATCTGGTTAAACAAAATATATTAGAACTCACTGCATGTGCTCTCTTCGCCAACACATGCACTAAAATTCATGGGAGTGATTTCTTTCTTCTGTGCCCACTAGAAAGTTAAACATTATAAATGGAAGTTTAAGCTTCCCTTTTGTGGCTTGCATTATATTTCTCTTGAGCAGCACTGTCCTGGGCTGTGAGTGTATTCTCTTATGTGCTCCACCATTCATCCTGCATACATTCAACCTGGATCCATTCTGGTGCTGGACACTGGATTTTTATATTAAAGGACACATCTTATATTTACCTTGGCTTCTTCCAGCCCCAGCATGCAGGTTGAATGGAGTGATGTTGGGACTCATCCTATAGTTGTCAGAGCTCTTTAAAAGTGGTATGTGGAGGCATTGGATTGGCCTCGTGGATTGGTTATGAGAAAGGAGAAAGCTGGCAGTGGCTGCAGGATGGTCAGGTGTACACGCATCACTGGGGTTTTTTGTTTTTGTTTTTGTTTTTTTTTTTTGCGACAGGGTCTCACTATGTAGTTGAGACTGACCTGGAACTCAC